TTACGAAGGAAGGATTGTACGTGCCAAACCATGTTTTTTTACACATTCAGTTCATTGTGGCTTTGTCAAGGGTGCGTCTTTTTAGTGAAATTTATGTCTGTGTAAAAACAAAGCCATCAACACAAAAATCGTATATGGCCATATAATTACTTCAAACATTACAGACCCTTCAATATTTTTATTTTTTTAAGTGTAAGGGTGAGGATCTGTCTTACATAATTATTAAACATCCCTTTTGAGAAACCCTAATTTTAACAATAATTGAAAGTAATTATTTTAGATATGTAATTTGTGTCAAAATATAAACAGTTCATTTTTATTTTGCTATATTTACATAAATACGTCTTATTTTCGGATTATTATTTTATCACTTTGAAGTTAAAAGTATTCTTACCTTTAACACAGACATGTATTTTCACAAAAGTCCCAACAAATAGGCAAAAAATAACTACATATACGAAAGAAATATAAAATAATTAAAACAACTACACTGTAAATTCGCGTGTCTAAGACTATGTTCTAATTTTAATGCGAACACGTCAATATAATGCGTTACCAGTAAACAGTAAGTAGGCTGTTATATACAATACATTTATTAGATAAAAATATACATATATTTTATATCAAGTAAACATAGTTGTTACAAGAAATAAAAATATCCATGCTAAACTTGATGAAAACGACCAATTAAAAAGTTACTTATGGACCCAGTGAAAAAAACTTTTCAATGAATATTACAAGTACCAGGAAAAGACAAACTATTCTGAGAGATAAATGTTGATATCCCCGTCCTTCCTGTTTCAGGAGTTAATCTTTACATTGATCTTACTACGGACTCAATTTCATTTCCCCGAGATTAGACAATCCAATTGGATTTTTGTATGAATAATTAATTGCTTTTCGAGTTTTACCATAACTTTATATGTGGTTTTAGTTTGCTATCATTTATACGATACTTTAAATCTGAATGAAGCAAAAGACGCATTTATATAAAGCAAGACACTTTATAAGACAAAACATATTGTAAACCTTCGACGATTACTATATGAGTATACGTGTACTTCTAATCGATAAAAACCTATCTTATTTTAATATCTCACTGCAAAAACAAACTGAAGACACTCCATTACCAATTATGTCACCATAATGTTAACAATATCCGTTATTACTCTTTATCAAAACAGTTAAGTTTATATCTTGAACGATTGCTTTCTAAATGTATGTCAACAATCGGACCCCTTCAAAAACCTTTGGACCTTCTCAAAATGTTGGCGAAAATAACACCGCTATTGTATTTTTGTTTTGAAGACTTCAGTAAAATCAGTTGATATTAGAGCAGGTGTGGAGCCACGAAATTCCTAGAGTATTTGTTTATTTATACAGTGTATTATGTGCAATTATATTTGTGTTGATCTATATTACGGTTTACGGGGCTTTGTAGTGTATTTTTGGAGTTTCGCCCATCAACACTGAGCGTTTTATCTTTTAATGTTAAGCGTGTTTAATGCTAACATGTCAAACGATGCTGTCAACCAAGTGCATTGACATTGTTGAAAGCTGTCTTATTGCATTGCCACACTGTGTTAATTGAATGTTCCGGTCACATAAATGTTGTATGTACAAAGTAAATTGCATTTAGGCGTAATAAATAACCAAACATATATACTTAGGCTGACATTTCAACTATACGGGTTTTCTCTGAAGGCAAGTTTAGGTAGTAAAGTCAAACCGTTAACTACTTTTGTGCCGACACCTTGATGAAAAAATAAATAAAACAAAGGACCTGAATAAAATGTATTGTAACTTACAGAGACGCAGTCAGAAAGTTAACTAGACAATATGCACAAAGATAATTTCATGCCTCTGACACGTTTGTTTTATGTTTGATATCCAAAAGTTACTCTAAAATTGCGTTGTGGCAAACAAATTGTAAAATTCCTTCCAGAATTACCTAAGAGAATTACCATTTAATAGTAAATAATAAATAACGGTTTTTACAGAAAGGATTTACACCATACGATTGGAAATTTATTTTACTTTAAGAATGCCATCGGTGAATAACACAGGTGGTTTAGTTTTGCGGCAATTTTTATTCGAAAACAGCTCGCGTCATGTTTTTCTTTGTCTTTCCCATGTTACAGCTGTGGCTTTTTGCCACTCTACGGTTCCGCGTTCCCCTCTAGTGTTCTGCAAATCTGGCTTCACCGCAACAGGTATATCCCTATTCGCGTGCCCTCTCCTTAATGTTAATCCTCATAGAGAACTACCGGATCCTACAGTATTGTATAAACACTGCATTTATCCTTTCGCCAACTTCTTCTACGTCTCACCACCACCCCCTTAACCTGTATATTTTGGTTAAGCTTCGAATTCCTTAACTCGTAATTACATCTTATATAAGGCCCATGTATCGATTTAGAGTAAAGTATCAAAATACAAAACAACTTCACTACGTATAAAACAGTGAAAAACATATGTTTCCTTGAAACAAAACATTTCCTGTCAGCCAAGATATAACTTTATACAAACGTTACTCCGGGGACAATGTTGGTATGACGATTCCTTCTGTACAGTATAGATTTCTACTGAAACAGGTTATTGAGTATAATGTTTATCAAAATGTTTCAAAATGGTGTAACCGTTGAGAGGAAATAAATAAATAAATAAAAGTAAATAATAGGATATATTTGGAATAACTCAAATACGACAGCTAATTGGTACTGTTTTGTAGTATTTTAGTACCTTTTTAGAATTGGTATCTGCGCGGTGAGTAAATATTCTTGTAATCTAGTTAAATTACTGATCGTTGAACGTTAATAACGATTGTAACGTATTATTGGAATAATAAATAACATAAGTTGTATTATACACACACAAAAATATAAATATGACCTTTTATTTAAACAAATTTCCAGAAATATTCATATCCTTTTTTTTTTGTTTACGTTAAGTTTTAATAAATTTATTTGTTAGTACATTCATTTTTTTAATAATGTCACTCTTTTTTATAAACTTTTTAATATTCTATTAAAATATCTTGTACAAGAATCAAGTATCTTTATTGCCTTTCATCCATGTAATACAGATACAGTATTGGCAAAGTCAGTCGATTGACCACCAATTACAATTGAACTATCTAAAATAACTCGTTATAGAAGACTACAAGTCCATGTGTCTTCGGTTTATTATTTTGGTTATGCATATTATGCTGTAACAAAATGCCTTAGTTACTTCACCATTCAACTATACATCACTACACACTGGACTAGGTCAATGTGAGCTCCGAGCTCCTCTGCCTATACCCCGCTCACTGCTCAGACCGAAGTCATAGATGATCATGAGCAGTAGCCTATATCAGACTTCACCTTGTATCTCGTCTTCTGGGATGTCAGGTTTAACTTTGCATGTTTATGAGATTTAAATTATTATACCATACATTTTATAATTCTTAATCGTGAAAAAATCATAGTTATTTATATTTTTTTTATAGCCTGTTTACAGAATAATTTGGCATTATTCGCCAACCCCAAAACTTTATCTTTTTTACAATGACAAGATATTCCCCTCATCGTATTAGGTACCAAAATTAAGTAAAATTGCTTGATTAAAGTTTTCAGTAAAAATCTAACAAACATATTTCAAAGACCTGGAGTTTTATAGGCAATACTTCTAGACGCTGATTTGACGCTGTTACATTCAAACCCAGATACATTATTCAATATCCGATGCTATAAATTCCCCTGCCATCATACCTTGTAGCACAACATAGCCCTCTATTAATTATTCTCTTTATATTCTTATCATTCTATGTTACTAGTCTGAAAAACGTAGACGTTTAACGATAGTAGCCTATACAATTTCGCAAATTCTTCGTTCGTTCATAAATAGCTAGCCAATACAGTATATCCAAAACATTGTAAACATTTTTTTGTCACAGCACAATACATTGCATAATCAACTATATTGGATTTCCTTTATGTACTCTATCGTTACAAATATTGCCTTGTTACCTTTTTATATAAGTGAAATCAAAGCATTTGCAAATTAATAACTCAATTATCAATTATCAATTATCAATTATCAATTATTTAAGATGGGGACGCCACTATGTGCGTATTTTAACCCAAATATGAGTGAAGGATGAGTGTAGGATGAGTGGCGCGATCTTGTAGTCTTGTTAGTGACTAAGGCCGACATGTTCCTTAGACACAGCTGTTAATTAATAGCCCATACAGCTAATGGCAACTAAGGGACCTACAGTTTATAGTGGAATCCGAACCACATTTTTCCTTGTAATTTACGAATACCATATTTACTCAGAAAACCATATCAAGGTACATTATCTTGTATGGTCAATGTTAACATTTAAACACTTTGAGTTATACCTCTTATATACCTTTTAAATTGTATAGGCATTAACTTGTCAAAAATTAAAATTGGTTTCATCTAAACCTTCCAATATTTGACAAAAACCCCTAGTTAGGTTTGGCTTAAATATGTTCAGCCGTTATTGAGTTAATGTGTTAGAAAGTTAGCATTGAAGTCGATCCCAAAGAGCTTCGCTTCGCTCCGCTCAATAAAAGGTAGCCAACGCGCAACATAACATGATCTTGGGTAATAAACTACGTGTTGCAATTCACATTTGCTCTTCAAATTTAAGACTTTATTTGTAATAGAACCTTTGTTTGGCACATTAGTCCTCAAATTAAGATGGGTAGTTGTCCTTAGCACATTCAATCTGTTCACTTGGTCAATCGAGATAGTCAAAACATCTTATCCACACTACAATGCCCAGGGCAACTGCCTATTTAGTCAATATTGACTTTAATTGTGAGGAAATATTTAAAGGCTAACATAAAAAAAAATACTATATTCACCAATACCAACGTGTTTGTAGATTCTTGCTTTTAATATCAAAAATTGATTATAGATCAAACATCAAATAGTAATTAATTGTTACAAGTAACCTACACTTTAGGTAATAACTGAATAAAGCTGACCTTGAACATCGGTTCGTCCGGGTACGTGGGCGAAGGACAGGACCAACGGTGGCGCACACAAACACAACAACACCACTGCGGTCGTGGACATCTTCACTTCACACTGCCGCGGTATCGTCTGCACACTGTACACTGTAGGGCCTCAGATTATCAACATTAACTGACCCCACACACACACAGTTGCGGACTTCCCCGCTAGAAGGCGCTCCTCCTCAAGGTCGCCACAGCTCAATTTCATGTTATTTTCACATTATTGTTCTCGGAGTGAGATTATGCACGGGCAAGTTGGTTCTGTGCTGTTCTGTAGTGTGGTTCTTCCTGCGCTGACGTCGCTACCCAGTATTGACTCATTAGTGATACCTCAGTCCCAAGGTCGTTCCTATGTGATAGTCTTCAACTTCAACTGGCCTAAAGTTCTGGCTTTACACTAATATTATGTCATGGGCTCAATACTTTCATTCCTGTATCTGGGCCTATATATACATTACTAAAAGTTTAATAAAAGTCAGTACTGACTGAGTGAGCTTTGCTAGGGGTAAAATCATAAGTAACTATTAACTTTAAGAACACTATTTTCTTGGATGTTCTAAAACAATCTATCCATATTCAACCTAAAATGCGTGGTTAGCTTGTTAGTCAGATTTTTTTTAAGAGGAGTTGTTAAAAATCGTTCGTTAACAAAAATACTGTGTTATTTTTTAATTTTGCTAATGTCGTCTATATAATGATTGTATGTGACAGGAATAGTAATGTTTTACCTCTTATGAGACTTATGAGATTTAAAAAACATACAATTTATGCCAAGGCAAAGTTTTTAGACAAATATTTTACATAGTATATGTGGAAAGATAAATAGCTATAAGGAAATTATTACTGAGTGTGATTCGTTCTCTTTGTTCTAAAATGAACCTAAATGAACTATAATGAGTTCTTCATTCATATCTTGTTAAGATTCAAGTAATTTAGGTACTTTGGTATTATACTGAGGCCACTTATTTTACAGCGGGCTGCGGTGGTTATATTAGTATTATGTTAGGTTGGGTTATCTATCATAAATATGTTTGTTGGAATTTCCTCGTTTTGTTATGAATCGAACGATACCTGATGAGTCATACTTTCTATTTATGATAACCCAACCTAAGCAAGTATAAAGGTGGACTCCGTATAATACCAAAGTACCGTAAGGCAAGCACTGTTAATGATGTACTATTTTGACGGACACTAGTTTTAAAAGAATCCCTACCTATAATAATACCTCACATTAGCGTGGTATGCTAGGTCAATCTAAAACTAAGTTCATTTATGTGACTTTAGATAATAAATGGGCAAGTGCTAAATAAAATTTTCATTTTTCAATTTATTTTTCTATATTGTAGTAACAAGAGGGTGTAAGGTTAAAAATGTATTTAAGACGGTAGGCTCAGGGGTTGATGCACTACCAGTAGTGTTCTCGACGATGTTTTCATGTATCCAGTCAAGATACTCGTTGACTCTGGTGTATATTCCTGGCTTGTCTTTCTCAGCACAGCGTATGCCCCAAGACACTACTCCGATGATGATCCACCTCTTGCTGTGGTGACACTGTGTCACTAAAGGTCCTCCACTGTCCCCCTGCACATAAAAAATCATATGTACAAAGTTCAACTGCATCATATGTACACCACACAACTGCCAATCCTCTGTTGTAGTCATCCTGTTTTGCTTGCTGTGCTCCGTTGTGTCATTAGCGGTCGTCCATGCTTCCCCCGCCGCAGAGAACCTGCAGACTAAGTCAATTTACATTTACCTTGCTGGAATTTGAACGGATGGGGTTTTGGCCTCTGGGGATGGCAAAACAAAAAAACTGATCAGTCCCGGGTCCAGGTCTTACCATTAGATCTACGGTAATACATTACCGTAATGAGTTTAACTTATTCCCTATATTATAGGAAATTCACTAATATGCATTTAAGTACACTATACAATGGCCAATCTCCTGATCTGGCGACACTGTGCTTGACAGTCTCTCTACACTCAAAACAATATATAAAGTGCAACTCACAAATGCCCATTTCTTGCTTTTGTGACACTGTGTCATTCACTCCGTACACGTCGTACTTGGCACAGTGTGCAGTTTTTTTGCGGTGGTTCTGTGCTACGAACTGCGTATTTTACCATTCCCAACACATTCAAAACAAATGTACAATCATTGAATTTGCGCTGTATAACTACCAATTTTTTTCTCCTTTTACGCACATACTTTTTAAGTTCCTTTAGCAAAAAATGACACAGAAATGTTTGAACTTATGGCGTCGACAGAAGTTATTTCTGTTTTTAACAATGTTTCAGACAATGAATGGTTGTTTAAAAATCGTTCAACATACAAGAAATATAAAGCTTTAATAACAATATGTTGGAGTTATCTGTTCAAAAATAACACATAAATGAATAACAAGAACATCAGTAGCATATACATCAATAACCAAAACCAGGAAAGTTGATAATGCGTAACCTTTTATGGGGTTTATTATTGCTATGAACCTGAGATATGGAGGTTATTGCTCATGATTATGGTCAAACGCTTATGACGAATATAAACGATTATGATAAAGAAACTGATAAGGGTGAAGCCCGCCAAAGTGTGTGTCAAGTGGATGAACAGGAACAGTATGTTATTAAAGACTAGGAGTTTGGAAGACGTGAAGGCAATCAATGGCGGTTTTATTGGATTGTTAAGGGAAGTAACTAAGAAGCTTTAAGGCAAGCTAGACTTTTAGTAGTTTAATCATAGGTTTAACTTACTTGGCATGAATCTCTTCCACCTTCAAAAGCTCCGGCACACATGCTTGTGTTAAATATAGTCTGTGGGAATCTGGGAATACACATGTCCTGGTCCCACACTGGAAGAGGTGCCTCCATCAGGTCGGTAGGCAATCGTCCTTTGTATACGATCCGGCCCCACCCTGCAAATAGTTCCTGTATCAGGACAAATATATAGTAACTGTCCTAACCAACAGTTATAGAATCGTATTGTGTCATATCTCATAAAACCATTACTAACAGGTCATATCTCATACTACTAACAGAACAATATAGGTAGTTTAAAAGTTGAAATAACTCAATTCAACTGTTACAGGGTTGTTAAGGACAAAGGACAAAGCCAGTGGACTTTTTGGAAACATTGGTTTTAAAATAAGAATCTTAAATAATCTGTGGAGTGCTGGGACTAAAACGATTCGGAATGACACTTTGCTCCGCTGACCACTGGTATATACTATTGATATATTTAATTCACAACTAGATTACAATACAACAACGACAAGCAGTAAATGAACTAAAACAACAAAACTAAGCACAAAATGCAGCTATGCAACTAAGTGGGTAGCTAAACACGACAAAATCCATAGAAAGATAGGAATGTTCCTGAGGGGAACAATGTGGACCTGTGATGACGGCGGACACGTTGGTGTAGCGCGGACCAGGCGCCGGCAGACATGCTGGCTGGATGTAGTTGTTGTAGGCGGTAGTAGTGTTGAGCACTAGCAGTGCGATGTCGTTCTCGTGAGTCGCAGGGTCGTAGTCGTCGTTGGAGATGAGTCGTTCCACAGAGAATGCTCGCGACCTGCTCTCGTTGGTCTTTCTGACATCGTAGTCGCCCAGGACTACCAGGATATCAGACGCGTTGATCCTGGTCAGATAGAAAACATAAAACATGGGTGGTCAATAGGTCTTTGATACTTAGGTAGCTTAATGTTGATTATGTAGCTATTACAAACAGCCCACGTTTGTTTGAATTAGGAGTAAACAGATAATTTGGCAAACGAATTTAAAGTGAATTGTTTGAAAAATAATTCGGTGATGGAATACTAGGCCTAAATATTGATGAAACCTTTAAATAAACACCCCATTAACACCTAAAATTTCCTAATTCTATTCATTGATCAAACATTAAAACATGTTTATTATAAACTGTAGCAACTCTTTGTTAAATTTCTAATGGTTTTTAAGTTAAATAGTATTTAGAATAGTTACGTTCGAAAGCAGTGAGCTGCAGTTAGCACATGACGACGGGAGATGAGTGTACCACCACAGAACTGTCTGCGGGAGGATCTGAACACCAGCACCGCCATCCAGGGCCAGTCCCGCAGCGTGGCCACGGCCTGTGTGGTGATGTCGGACATCATCTTACCGCTACGCCCACACACTGAACAACACATTTATTTGATCATGAGTAATCAATATGATTTTTCTGGTGGAATATTTAGATAAGGCCTGATAGAATATCTAAACACAAGCAAGTTGACGATGCAGGGAAAGTAAAGTAGCCTTTAATGTCAGGTAGACCTAATCTATAAAGTGATTTGAAGTTGTCTAAGATAATAAACTTACCAGAACATAATTTAGATTTATAGCTGGAAATGCTTGAAAAATTGAGATAAATCAAGTCTTCCATTACAAAGGACCTCTACCTCTCCCACAGCTTTAAGCCAGAGTCTGACCATTTATTGTTTGGAAAATATTTGGTTAATTTCTGTAAATAGATTAATTACGTTGGATGAATTTCGATAAATTAACCAAGATACTGTCTTAAATAAATCATAAACTTTTGCCTTTTTTTAAGTACAGTATTTTTATATTTATGAAGCTGATTCCAATATTTTTTCTCAATTAAATACAGTAATATCCTGACAGAAAACAGAAGTAGAGAGAACTAGTCAATATACTTGGAACTAGCCAAATATAATTAAATATATACCGACAGCAGTGCTGTCAGTCTGTATTTAATTCTATTTGTCTATGGCGAGAGTTAATGTGGTTTTACCTGTATAGTCGGCAATCGGGTAGATGCAGTGTTCATGGTGGTGATGATGTGAGGCGATATGATCATCTGATACTGAAGGGGAACTCGCTACACCTGGCACCCTGACCACTGGATGCTGCTTGAGGTTCACACAGCAAACGCCAATGGATCTTGATCATAAATCACATCGTTACCTCAAATTACTGCCAATTCATAAAATATCAATATTAGCTAAACAATATATTGACGCAAATAATCAGAAATTGTCACGTGTGATGATGTAAACATATTTTGGAGTAGCTTGATTATAATGTAGTTTATACTATTACGACAGATTGACGTAGAACTGTTTGTTAAAAACAGTGTTGGTACTTGACACTATAATGACGTATTTCTTCTTTAGGCTTCACCAACACTACTCAGTACTTACTGCTTGTGTTTGATGATACAATAGTGTCTCTGGGTAGCAGAGTAGTGATGGAGGTTGTCTGTCAGATCACACAGTTCTGCTGGGACACAGTGGCCGGCCAGGTCACCTGGACCTACACAGGGATCCCACTGCAACCAGTTAACTAATAACTTGTACTATGAATATCTACCTTTATAAACGTATTAGGTATCCCTAATAGAGAAAACTCTGTAAAAGGAAACATAATTTCTCACATTAAACTAAAATTATACATCGATGAAAACATTTTCTTTTCTGTTTCTTTCTCACTAAAGAGTATTTCACTTGGTTAGTAGTCTTAACATAATGCTATGTTACTATTAATAAAGCTTACATTCAAAGATTTAGTTCCTTATTACCTTAAGAGAAATAGTCTATGACCTACGGACTAACCTGGAGAGCCTCAGGTTTGATATCTTCAAAAGCACTCAACTGGCTGTTGACAGGTTGTGGAAAGAAGTGTGTAATTGATTGTGGTACTAATTGTGACGCTGGTTGTGGTAAGGAGTGTGTTTTTGGTTGCGGCGAGGAGAAAGAAATTGGTTGTGGTAGGGAGTCCAAAACTTGTTGTGATAAGCCGTACGACGTTGGTTGTGGTGAGGAGTGAGAAACGTCTTGTGGTAGGGAATGTATAATTGGTTGTGGCAAGGAGTCCGTAACTTGTTGTGGTAAGCCGTGTGACGTTGGTTGTGGTGAGGAGTGAGAAACGTCTTGTGGTAGGGAATGTATAATTGGTTGTGGTAGGGAGTCCAAAACTTGTTGTGATAAGCCGTGTGACGTTGGTTGTGGTGAGGAGTGAGAAACGTCTTGTGGTAGGGAATGTATAATTGGTTGTGGTAGGGAGTCCAAAACTTGTTGTGATAAGCCGTGTGACGTTGGTTGTGGTGAGGAGTGAGAAACGTCTTGTGGTAGGGAATGTATAATTGGTTGTGGTAGGGAGTCCAAAACTTGTTGAGGTAAGCCGTGTGACGTTGGTTGTGGTGAGAAGTGAGAAACGTCTAGTACTAAGGAATGTATAATTGGTTGTGGTACAGAATGTGTAGTTTTTTGCGGTAAGGAGCTTAACGTTGAATGTGGCAAAGATTGGAAAATTGGTTGTGGTAGGGGTTTTGTAATTGGTCGTGGTGAGGAGTGTGTAATTGGTTTTCTTAATGGGCCAGAACTTTTGAAAACTTCAGGGAATTGTCCATTAAAGACCGGTGTGTAGACATCATAACCATCATAAACTCCATTATCTGCCTGGTGCAATGCCGCTTTATTTTTCTCAACCTGCCATCTCAAATCGTTAGCAATCGCTGGGGGCTTTGTTACTTTAACTTGATATACTTTTTCCGGACCGATTGTCCCATAATTGTCTATATTGGCTAAAGCATCAATCTCAGTTGGAGTATTAAATCCAATTCTACGAGTGTCTGTTTCATATTGTGGTTGGACCAGACTGTTGTTTGCTTGGTGTCTTTGTAGCGAATTTTTATGAATATTCAGTATCGTATTTATATGTTCAGACAGTTTTGCCTGTTGGCTTATGAGGCCACTTAATGCAGTGGAAATATCGACTTTGCCGTGTCTGCTCCAGTTGGGCTGTTCTACGTATGGAACATGCTGTTTGCCTTGGGAAATGCCATTAGGTTCTGACAACGTGAGTGGTTTTCTCACCACTTCAATGTCTGATTCTGGAGGTTTACGCGATTGTTGAGTTAACGGGAATTGTATATATTCCTCGTAAATTGTAAAAGGGGGTTTAAGCGCACCTTGTTTTCCATAGTAAGATTCATCTGTAGTTCTGAGCTTAATCTTATTTCCTTCGGCATTACTTAAAATCCCACCGTCATTAACCTCTATGTTAGGTATCGAAAGAGGTGGAATATTTTTTGTACGAATTGGCCTTTCTGGAAGAAGTGTCGGATTAATGGGTACAGAGTTGCGTGGTTGAAAAGAGCTAAGGGGTTTTGGGTGATAATTTTGATTTGATACAGAATATTGTTTTCTTGTTATATAATCAGTGTTTTCCTCACTAGAAGGTTCAATCCAAAAAGGCGAAGGAATGATAACTTTTGGCTCGAAGGTTTGATCGTCATACTTGTATATCATTTTAGATGAATCATACACTTGGTCTGCGGCTTCACTGGGTGATCCCTCGTGGTCAGGCGCTGGCCCGAAACCAGTTCCTCTAGGCCAGTTTCGCGACCTTTGGCTAGTTGTCACCAGTGACCTTTGTTTGTGTCCAGTGCCGTCATATCTGTAAGTGTAGGAGCGGCCTGTCGGGGTGTCCTGGACATGCTGGCCTGCGTGGTCCGTGTACGCTTCCCATTCTGCAACTGTAAAGTAAAATTCAAATAAAAATCAATTCAGTTTATGTTGTTTACCTTATGTTTGCCAGGTTCTTGATGAATTTTGTAGTTTACGCTCTATGTACATTTCGCCCCAAGTGTGGGATCATCAGGAGCTTTTTCTTGTTTCTACATAAATTCAGTGTACTTTAGAATAATGTTTAATGTGGATAAACTATTGTAAAGTAGACAAACATTCAATGTAGCCATGTAGCAGACATTTAAAAAAATGTCAAAAAAAAATGTCAATTTAAAAATAATGTATTTAGTTCGAGCCACCGAATGGTTACACAACCATAATTACAAGCATGTTTTCTGTCTTAGGTTACACTACAAGTTTAATCGTTCAAAATTATAACGACAACTTATCGCCAACTATACCTACGTTGTGCAGTATTACGTAACAACAACTGTATCCAAATAACGACAAGTTCGCTAAGTTCGAATCACGATAGAAGCACACAGTAAACTTATGAGATAATTCAAGTCCTTCGCTCTCCAATCTCCATGAATAAAAACTAAAAGTAATAGGTATATATGTAGATACTTGCAGACACTAAAAAATAATGTAATATTGGTAACTTTAAGATTTTAGCTTTGAACTAATTACTTTTTATTGTATGGATGTTTTCGTAGTAAAGTATTATCATTCACCATTCTACGGTCTTCGATAAATTTGGAAATTGCGTTCAACAGTCATTCCTAAGCTATTAGTAGTATATATGACATCCTTAACATATTTATGTAACATCTAGAATGTGATTTGGATGTTTGCCACTCCTGGTTTTTTGCTACATTTGACTAACCACTAATCGCCATCCACGCACGTTGTCGGGGAAAGTTGTACGTATCAAGGCAATATCTTTATAAGGTGACTCCAACTTTGGTGAATTCATAACTTATGTCATCGTGGGTCATTAAAGCACATAGTTAAAAGCGTATTATTTAAGCGCATAGTATAAAAAAGTACATAGCTTTACTTTATGCATTGCTCGATCTTTTCATGAAATATTTGTCTGAATCCCAGTTATAAAAACTCACAGCACTATTCTTACGATTTTATGGTAATTGGACTTTTCCTATCACTATCGAGTATTAATAAGAAAAGTCCGATTTACCTTAAAAATTAAACATTATCATTCACAATCATTAACTTTAGGCTACCATTCTATTCCACAATATAAGTTTGGAAACCTCATAGTTTTGCATCACTCAAGATTGAAACCACTTATAATGCAAGTATGACGAATTTTCAATTAGAATCAAACGGTACTCTATTTTTATGAAAATATATGCGATAGATTAATCCTTGAAATCGGCCTATGCATTTGGCCTATGATTGATGGTCGTGTTGTCATCAATTTTTGACTGTCAATATTCATACTCTATGCGGAGATTTGGCAAGTTACCAAGTCGTCGTTGGTGAGTTGCCCGACGAACCGATGTCAATGGCAGCCAAACGCAGCACATGTTTTCTGACAAACAAAACTTCACCGCCAACAAATTTATATTTGCAGTTATTTATTGCTTCACGTGAATAATTTCCGATATAATATCCCATGTTTGCAGTTAAAATCTCTGAAGAAGGTCGATATAATATATGCTGGTAATAACTTTGCAGCAAATATCATTATGTACCTACCGTAATGATTGCTGTAAACTGTCGCTATCATTAGCACGACTGCTCCTTCTCCTACGTCCCTTCTGTTTAGTCGATGCGTAATGTAAATTACTGATGTAAATTACAAATACTGTCAAAGGTGGTTGGCACTTGACACGGCTTACTTTCCCTGTCGGTTTTTCAAACGACTAGTGTACACTAGATCACTATTGTCTGCCTTGGTTTGTGTTCAATTACAGAAAGCATCATTTTGATATTTTCTGTTAAGCTAAAAATTATATAATTATGGTTTTTGCATAGAAATATTCTATAGGAAAAACTCACAGCTGCCTTTTAAATCAAAACTTGTACATAAGTGTATATCTACAATGTATATTGTCTGAAGATATGTTTATTTCTATTATATAAAGAAATAGTTTATAAATAAAAATAGTTTTTTTTTTAACACCAGGTTTTTAAACGCACTTAAAAGTAGAAAATAATTTATAAATAGGTGGAGAAAATATATACTTGTAAGATTTAAAACAAAAAATGTGAGGCGCATGCGATAGCTAATTTACAACTACCTTCACCTATTGGACTATTATAATCTATTACATGCATCCGCGTTTTTCGTTTTAAATCTTACAAGTATTCATTTTCTCCACATATTTATAAATTATTTTCTACCTTTTTGTGCGTTTAAAAATATGGTATTAAAAAAGTATTTTTATTTATAAATTGTTTTCTACTTTTTAGTATTTAATGTGTAAATATGTTCTATTTTTCGTCATACTGGAGCAAAAATAGCCGTTTTTAATGAATGCGTAGCCCAAGGGAAATATGAAAATAAAATGATTTTATGTTGCGTTGTCATCCATTTGTGGGCTATGTTTCAAGTTTTGAGTCTACACCCTATCAAGAAGTTGCTTTAATATCAATTGCAAAATTTGTACCGGACAAGAAATTGAGCTAATAAAAATGTTTTAAAATGACGGCAACATTCTCTGATTATACATTCTGACAGGTTTATTTCACTGACACTAAAGGAGGGAGGTTAATTTTACCAGAAAGTGCTCGTGTTAACACTGCCCTTACCTGTAATACCTGCTTACAAGACCAGTTCTTGTCTCTAAGCCGCATGGGACAGCCAATACTTATCGTACTTTCGATGCATAAAATGGCTTAATAACAGAGAATTGCCTAACTGTCTGATAACATGAACAATTTTGGTTCAGAACTACTTTGCAAGTGCTCCAATTTACCCTGTGAACCAAACTTTACTCCAAATTATGTACATTACAAGCATTGCTGAGACATTATTAAAAAGATTCTGTTCTGAAATTGTATTCAGCAAGAATTAAAGACCTTTAAATTTACATTTGTGATTTTCTCTGTTGTGTAAGTAGTTGTGTTGTACGCTGTGTCAATGTATTTATGCATTAATTATTAAAATGTAGGAACCACACAGAGTCTAGCTTGATTATTTATTTACCAGCAATCAACTAACAAGTGACAATACTTGACAGTCCAAATGCTTATAAATACCTCAGAATTCGCAATACTGCATTTACTTTAGTTCCAACACGAACAGACTATTCTGGCCTTGTTTACTTTTTTTGGTTTATATTCGCAATAAACCAATCATTTACAGCTTTTTTTGGTTCCACAACAATATTTATTGATATATTTTAACACTTATTTATAACAACAAATATTTAAAAAAAAAAAACTTTTGCAGACTTGATATCCTTTAGTACATGTAAACATATAAGTTAAGTATTACGGTATTACCCACGTGTGGAGTAATGAAACACTTATTTATAAAAAAAGAATTCTAAACTTTTAATATGAAACATTTGTTACAGGGCCGAGCCTTAATATCCTTAGGTCCATGTAAATAATTAAAATTAAATATTACCCACGTGTGGGACGATGAAAAAAATATATATCCTAATTGCTACGGTTTAATATCAATCAATAGAGTATGCAAATTTACATTTTTATAACAACTAGCAGTTACCCGGAGCGCGTTGCTGCGCTTAACAACTATTATTTTAAATGGTAATTTGTTCTTTACGATGAATAATAGCATTTTATATTTGGTATTTTTTGTCACTCTTTAAAAAACAAATTCAAGTTAGTATTTTCCTTTTTTTTAGCTCTGCTCAGTCATGAAAGATTCAAACATGTTAGTTCAATTTTGTCAGTTAAAACAGAAATTTAAATATTTGCAAGATCCTGTAAGGAAAAGAGACGACAATTTGATTGGCCAGGGTAACTCAGTGATTGTTTGAAGCACATGGTCTTCAGCCAATCACAGGGTTACCTTGGTCAGACAAAACTTAATCACCCTTCTTGTCCGGCCTCAGTTGTGCAAAACCAGTTGATAAGTAAAGTTTAGTTTGTTTGTTCTTTTGGTCAGTTACCCCCACGTTTTGGGTAAGTCTCTTAAAAATTTTAAATTTAGTTAGTTTTATTTTAGATTATGTTAACAGATGTCCTCTCTTTTTCAGATTTTGATCAAATCTCAAATCACAAAGTTTCTAATTAATTTTATTTCTTTTAGGGCTCATGATTAAGAAGCAACTAAAAAAAATTTAAATAAAGTCAAGATTTGTTTAAGTATAGTATATCAAGAAGGAATTTTTAAAAGATTAACACTTAATATAATTTTGATGAGCAGAGCTTATTTACAAGAATTTAAGTTGAATGTTATTATAAAAAAAATGAAGATTTTATAATAAAAGTTTTGTTCGATCATTTTCAAGAGGATATTATCTTTACCTGCTTTTGGCATTTAAACAAATTTTACAAGTCAAGACATTAAAATATATTAATACATAAACTAGATCATGTGGGCCTAGTACGCTACAAAATGCGCCACTCTGCTCATTCTTGTAAAGTTTGGTGTCAAATGAAAGATATAAATTATTTAATTTAATTTAAAAAGTGTTATTGAAGTAACTTAAAATGGCTCTAAAAGTAGAATTTTTAGTCAAACAAGAACTTCAATATGAACTAATAGTAAGAGGGATTGAGTTTGATTCCAATGACAGTGTGTCAGAGCTAAGAAAGTTATTAAAAGCAGCAATAAAAATTAATGTAATGCCTAACCCTTATAATCTTTCAAAAAGGTTAGTTGTTGTTGACGAAATTCAAACTTTAACTAATAGTTTGCAAAGTTTGGAAAACAAAATCCAAGATCTTGAAGAGAGTAAAGACATAAATGGTTTTATTAGAGCAGAAATTAAAATTAATCACTATGGATCAAGAGTAAATAATTTAAGTCAGTTTAAGCTAGGCGTGGATGAAAAAGCTAAAGTAGAGGGTTTGATTGACAAGTTAAAGACAGTAAAAGAGTCATTTGGTAAACTCAACTTTGATA